GGGGGACCCCAGGGGCCACTGGGGAGCGACATTGGGGGAGGACCCTAAGGGCTATTGGGAGGGGTGGACCCCAGCACCCACCAGAGCCACAGGGGCAGGACACGGTGGGGGGGGACACACACTGCGAACACAGGACCAGGACACACTGGGGACACCCCAGCACCTTTATTCTCCCGCACCCCTACAGCCCCCCTGCACCCAACCCCTCCCCAAAAGCAGGGGGCTCCTGGCAGGAATTGGGGGGCACTGGCGGGCCACCGCCCCCCAGGGCATCGTGCAGGCGAGGCCAGGTGCGGGGATCGCGGGTGGCACGGGCCAGTAACCGAGTGTGCCGGCGCAGGGTGGCGATCTCCCGCTGGGTGCGCCGATTTTGCCGGAGAAGGGCCCCAGTCCGAAGGGCTGCCGCCAGCAGCTCCCCCCAGCGCAAAAACTCCACCGTCACCCCCAGCCGCTGGTTTTGGCAACCCGAGCTCCCTACCGGGGTGGCTGTCGCAGTGGCGTCGTGGCAGGCGTCGGTGGCGTCGTGGTGGGGGATGGTGGGTGACAGGGGCTGGAGTAGGAGAAGCTGAGCTGGCTGCCAGGGCTCTGGGGGGGCTCCCAGGGACTGCAGGGAAAGGGGAGGGGGGAAAGTGAGGCCAGAGCTGGCTAGTGCTGGAGCCACTCGGTGCCAAAACAGCCCGCTACCATAGCAGTGCTGCGTCGGACCCACGCAGTGCTGGAGCAGCCCGGTGCCAAAGTTGCATGGTGCTGAACCGGCCCAGTGCTATAGCAGTGCCATGCCGGAGCCACACAGTGACGGAGCAGCCCCGTGCAGGCATAACCCAGTGCCAGAGACGCACAGTGTTGAACTAGCACGGTACCGTAACAGTGCCATGCCTGAGCCATACGGTGCCAGCACAGCCCGGTTCCCAGGCAGCCTGGTGCCAGCACAGCCTGGTTCTGGAGCCATGCGGTGTTGAACCAGCCCAGTGCCGGAGCCACGCGGTTCTGAATCAGCCCAGTGCCATAGCAGTGCCGTGCTAGAGCCACACAGTGCCACAGCAGCCTGGTGCAGGCATAGCCTGGTGCCGGAGCTGCACGGTGCCAGAGCCACACAGTGTCTAACCAGCTCTGTGCCAGAGCCACATGGTTCTGAACCAGCCTGGTGCCATAGCAGTGCCATGCTGGTGCCGCACGGTGCCGGAGCTGCATGGTGCTGGTGTAGCACTGTATGAAAGCAGCCTGGTGATGGATCTGGCATCACAGTGCCATTACCTGCTGGAGGAGGAGGTTGTGGACGAGGTAGACAGGTGCCAGGTGGGCGAAGGGGTGGCCGGGTGCCGGGGCAGTGGCCGGGTGCTGCGGCGGGGACCCTTGGGTGCCGGAGCCTGGCGGTTTTTCCGTATCCGTCTGCTCCCGCCCACTCAGGTGCTCCAAGCTGGTGTCTGCCGGGGTGGGGGTGAGCCCCCACCATGCCCTGAGCCGGCCCCAGGAACGCCCAGCCCAGGGACAGGGACCCCTAACCCAGGGGATGGAGACAGGATACAAGCCCTACCTGAGAAGCCAGAGTCCTTTTCGACGTCGTTGGCCCGGGGAGCCTGTGCCCCCCACTCGTCCCCCATCTTCTTTAGGGGGACCGCAGAGTGGAGGGGCTCGGTGGCCACCCCTGGCATCTCCGGCTCGGCTGGCATCAGGGTGGCCCCTCCTGCGGGGGGACATGGGGACCCTGGGG